CAGGAAAAAGAAACGAATATAAAACTGTGAGGGATTAGAATTCGGCCGATTTGCATAAACTTCAAAACTTTTAAACCACACTTTTGAATCTACGGCCAGTAAAAAATATCGTCCTTCCTGCAGATCTATGCATAAGTTGGAGTGTCTGTTGACACAAAATTAGAATAAAACTTGAGCAAAATGATCACCTTTGATTGCTACTTGTTCATCTCATCTACGGTGAAAAAGCTAAGTTTTTAAAGAAAAAAATATTGCTTTTTAATGCTTTTTTTGTAATTTAAAATGTAACATGACAAAATCACGATATGTATGTTTGTGTATGTATGTGTTTGTTGGTATAATTCAGATCTGGAATAGCAAAATTTAGGAAATTAAACTGCCATACAGATCTTCTTAAACCCGAACCCTGATGCCCAATCGCAGACCCACGTTTAGGCTGCCGCCATCAAATCCAGGAAATTCACAAACGTGACATTTTTTTGAAAAATTCAACAGCCAGTTGAATCAAAAAAAAATAACCTGGCACAACCACATTTGCACGTTTTCGAGCATCTGCACACGGTATGTTCCTAGTAACTAACAGCTAAAAAATTATTTTGCCTTCTGGTGGTGTTTAACTGTTAAAAGGAAACATTTTGTTTTTTAACAGATGGATACTGACAATACAGTGATTGAAAATGAACCTCGGGTGGCCTGCGTCTTCTCCTCCTCCTTCGTTTTTCAGTTGGAACTGTTACTGAAGGATCGGCGAACAATAAATGTTCCTGAAAGTATTGAATATCCACTGACCAATAAGCCGCTCTTAAAAAAGCACTATGTAAAAGTGAGCAATCACTAATGAATGCAACTTTAGCTTAAAATGTGCCCTTGGGAAACTGGAGAAAAAATAATGAATTATGCACTGGGCAGTTCGGTTCTGTCATGGGCGATGCAAAAAACGAATAAACTTTTTGAGCAACAAAGTTTTTTCAATTTATAAAAATTCTCCTTCCAATTACTTGCTTTCACTGTTGGAAAAATGAAAGAGAAAAAAAAGAAGTAACAATTCAGCTGCCATTCATTTCTCGAACCCTCAACACACTAGTGCTGCAACGTAGAAAAAATGTTTTCAAAGCTTTAGAGCCAAAAAAATGTAACTTTGCAACGCAGTTACTTTCAAGCGTCAACTAGAAGATTTAGCTGACACGCAAATCAGTTTCACGTTATTGTGCAACTAAAGAAAGTAATTTTGACACTGAGCTAAAATTGATGGCAATAAGGGTGGGAGAGAAGAGCTACGAATATCAGTGGTTTTGCGCCCAATGAAGCCGAAACTGAAGAATTTTTTTAGCCTCTCCTCACACTAAGCAGGACAAACACTAGCTAGTTCCAAGCGTTCCACTGATGGTGCACGATGGGCTTACAAAGTTTTAATCTGAAAGAGGTATCATTTCTTTTGTAACAGAAGTAAGTGTTAAATTAAACAGATGTAGCTCTAAAAAGCTAAATTTGTGGC